CAATATGTAATGATCCCTTTGGCCACGCAAATTTCCTGCTGCCCTACCTGGAATTATCTCGGCTCAAGTGACCAGTTCCTTACTCAAGTGCCTTGCGATTAGATATCCAGACATTAAACACCTTTCAAGACATGAATAAAATCGGTCTTTTGCACATTCTCACCGTCTTTGCCCTCCTTGACATCCATACCATTGCTAGCTTAAAATGCAGGTTGCAACCTCGTTCAATTCAGTCAAAGATTGCAAGGGAATCCGGCACATCACAAGCCCCTGAAATCACGCAGGATGCGGGAGATTTTGTAACCACTGAAATCAAGGAATTATCAATGGAAGAAGGCCTTCTCCCTAGGAAAACACCCCGTGTTACTCAAGCCAGACCAGATTTGGAAATCTTTCAAGACCGAGCTTCTGGCTCCACACAAGACCGACCTTCTGGTTTCCCTTATGGAAAAGTTCCTAGTGATGTGTCAAGCCATCAAAGGCCTGCTACCCAGTTTGGAATCATGATGCCAGAGGAAGCTTTTGCGCACACCTTGGAGATGGCTGCGTTGAAGAATGAAGGAAAGGGAAAGCAGGACAGGATCTCGGAAGCACTCGAGATCCTGGTCTTCGAGTTGAAATCTGCGATGATTCACTCCTCGGTGGAACAAAGTCTTGACGACCTCCAACATGCCCTAATGGCGCAAGTCGCTAAGTCTAGCGCACCGGGACGGGTGTGGGTCGATATACTCAAACAGGTAGAACCTCAACTACCGGTTCACATCAAATCGCATCCGGGAAGTGGGGTGAGAGAATTTTCAAATGCTGTGTTGGCTCATAAAGAAAGGGTCCAAAACTTCGTCCCTGCGCCTTTCCATGAATCGATCGGCGAAGTAGCTCTCGAAAACAATACCTCCCTGATGCGTCAACTTGCCGGACTGATGATTGAGATGAAGAAACGCGAGAAGCTTATTCGTGAATCCGAAGACTTGAAGAAGACCAAGAAACCCCAGATGGACCAAAATGTTTACAGCACGGAAGAGACGACTGAGGTCTCAGGGGGAATCAAAAGGCCTGAAATCACTTCAGATGATAGCGAAAAGATGGAGCAAGTGGCTTCGGATGTCATTGCACCTGCCAAACTAGTCGAGACTAAGAAACCCCCAAGCGACCAATATCCTTATAACACGGAAGAGACACCTGTAATCTCAGGGGAAATCAAAAGGCCTGAAATAACTTTTGATGAAGGCAAAAAGATGGAACAAATGGCTTCGGGTGTCATTGCACCTGCCCAACTAGTCGCTTGGTTGAAAATGGCTGTTAGTTTACCGGAGGGTCCACCAGGAAATCACAAGGAAATTTACCAGGGGATAGCGATGTCCCTAGCTGCAGTCTACAAGAGTTCTTCAGATAATGTGGCAACCAGGTCCTTGGATTTAAACCATCATCCCAATAAGCCACAAAACATGCTGCACCAACCATCAACATCCGAAGGAATTTCAGACGAAACAGGCAATACACCTGTAGAATTGCACCACGAAAATGCACTCAGGCTCTCTGTAGAAGCTTTCACTTATCTGACCGACACATCAAAACAAAAACAGATATTGGAGGAGGTGGAGACTATCTTGAACAGTCCTCTTGGCAGCGGAATCAACCCCAACTCGAGTTACCATCCAGAGTTGAAGAGATTTCTGGATGATCTCAAAGCTCCTCTTAGCATGGAAGCTGACAATGAACTCGGTAAGTGGATTATGGAGCTTTGACATTCAAGAAACCACTAATACTTTTCCTCTTGATTGGTAGATGACCCTGAAAAGTTAACAGCCAAATATTCTTTGGCAGATACCAAAAAAGTGAAAGATGTATGATGCTCTCCTGTCTCATTTCTAAATCCTGCTTCTTGATTTTACTGACCCTATAACATCCTCAACCCCCCCCCCCCCGCCCCTCAAAAAAAAGGCAATCATGAAAGTTCTCAGGGGGGAAGACCCATTCAATTAGACCCAAACTTTATTGCACCAATGTAACACGGATTAATGGTGGCAAAAGACATCTGAATCTTTCCTTGAGTCATTTTCTGCTACTTTTATGGAAATACCGGTTTACCCATTGCATGGCTTTGATCACCATTTCACACAATGTTTTATTTGAACATTCTATGTCATTAATCCTCTAGGATGTTTGATCTGTGTGAGATATTTCAAACCCCAGTTTTACCTCATGCTGAGTGTGCTAGTGAATTTCAGTAAAAATTGTAATGTTATAAATTGGGTTTTTCAGAAGAAGCTCTCCCAAGCTTCAGAATCTATCTTCTCAGGCTTCTCCTATTCACTCATTATGTATCCCCTCATTTTACCAGTTGCTGTGCTGTTACCTGTCCTGTCACTGTCCCTGCCCCTGCCCCTGCCACTGTTCCATTCACTTTTCCTGTCAGATATCCTGTCACCTGCTTCCCATTTATGCTTATACACCACACAAGATAAATATAGACTTACACAATCTATCTTCAAGTCCTCCTCAATTAAAATGAACACCCACTTGACAACTTTCTTTTCCATTTGAAAAATCATGTAGTCTATAGATCAGTACAGCAGAAAAGAGTACAAAACAAATCCAATGAGGTCAACTGAACAAGAAGTAACCAGAGAATCTGAGTTAGTAATGGTGGCCCTTTGATTTGTTTTTCAGAAAATTTGATAAATTTGTGTGGGAATAATGAGAAATCTGTTAGCTCGTGACATGTCACCTGTGACACCCGTTGTATTTCTTTTATCTCTATTCAACCGTTGTTCTCTCTTTTCTTTTCTTCTTCATCTTGTTTCTGCTCCTTTATCCCAGGTCTGCCCCTCCCTTGCCCCACCAAGCCCGAGCCTCCCTGACTGACAGTATCAATCTCGACTGTCACTTAAGGTCTTTATCTTCTCTTCTGTTTCTCTCATGATTCTTCTCCAATCTTTCTTCTTTCTCTCTTTGCTCATGAAATATCATCTTGTTTCTGCTCCTTTATCCCAGGTCTGCCCCTCCCTTGCCCCACCAAGCCCGAGCCTCCCTGACTGACAGTATCAATCTCGACTGTCACTTAAGGTCTGCCCCTCCCTTGCCCCACCAAGCCCGAGCCTCCCTGACTGACAGTATCAATCTCGACTGTCACTTAAGCTTATATTTCAATAATTTGAAAAGAAAATAGACATGTTTAAGGTCAGGGTTATTGCCCATTTAAGAATCAAAATTTCACCAGCAATTTACACATCTAGGTGCCTGCTGACCTGTATCTATTTCAATTAATCACATTGTTACTGAATTCTCTATTATTATGATCTACACCACGGGTTCTGGTGGACAAGTGCTTGACAGAACTGCTTCCGTCAGCTTGACCCATGCCGCCCCGACCAATATTTTGGGGTGCTTCATAGCGGGGGGCGTAATCCCCCGCAGTCGGCTTGACCGTTCAATGTCGGATTGCCAGAGGTTGCAAGGCAAGCTTGCGGCAGCTTGACCGCATTATGTCATTGTGAAAGTTCTTGCGCAGCAGCTGGCTGAAGTGCAAAAAAAACTCATCTTGGGGCTTGAACTCCCTACCTATACTCACACTATCTTCAGCTCATTGCATGATCATAATGTGACGGGAGGGCCTATCCAACTATGGCAATCATGATGTCATACCAATCTGGCTTGGTTTTGCATCTAGATAGATATAAAATTTCAAATTACCTATAAGATTTGTTTGTCTTGCTGTTTTTTGTTTCTACAAGTGTTTTTTCTCCAAGTTTTTTTTTCTTTTCTTGAGGTGGCCACAATCTTTTGGACATGAAAAGGGTGGAGAAAAAATGTCAAAAAAATGTTTTTTTTTCTTCATTTTCAGACATGAGGTCAAGCCAACAGTGGGACTTTTTGACCCTGAGGTCAAGCCAACGTTGGAATTACAGCTTTCCTACTGAAAATTGACATTGGCCAGACCAATCCAGCGGGATTGCGTAAAAGGGGTTAAGCCCAACCAGTGCTTTACCGCGGGGTCAAGCCAATGTAAGACTCAAATGTGGTTGTGAAACCCTTTTGCTGAATGGAGAAGGGGATGATGGAGTTGCAAGCTCTGCCCTTCTATGCTATCAGAACAACAAGACCACCAAGCTTAGCTTGGCAGTTATATCTATCGTGATAGAGGATAGTTCAAGATGAAGCTTCCGAGTGATGTGTATAAGGGTCTGAAGTTGTTAATGAGTGATGATTATATTGATGGAGTTGTTGTTCAAAGCTTTAATTCCAAGGCTTGGAGCTCTGGGAGCGCTATGCTTCAACCAGTAATGGTATGTGAGGCAGGTTATGGGCACTTGGCACTTGTTATGATGACGAAACTGTTAAGGTTGTATTTCAATATAATGTAGTGTTATGGCTGTCACTTGTATATAATCTGTAAGGGTGGTTGAGATGATCTGGTCCACTGGTGGGATGATGGAGGGAACAACTGGCAGGCAGAGGCCTCCTTATATAGACAAATGTGAGGGATTTTAGCCCCAGGGTACAGGCTTTTGAGGCATTTTAGCTGGCCTGAAGATCCAATGAGGGATTTTAGCTAGTCTAGTACATGCAGGTGAGGGAATTTGGCTGGTGAGAGCACTGCCTTGAGGGAATTTAGCTAGCCTACAAGGTCCTACTACAAAGGAATGCATGTGCACCTACAAAGGAATTAAATATGCACTATGTGCCAATAAAGGAATTCAATACAACACAAGCGAATTCAATATTCAATATGCATGCAGTATTTCAAAACAAGCCATACTGAGAGTAAAGAATCCAAAAGATATCCTGTGACAGGTTGAAATCTGTGTAACTTCTAAACTATGAGAGATATGGGGTCAGTTGTAGTGGGTGACTAGGGGTTATTTTACCTGAGAAATCCATTTCTGATGTCATTTTTACCATATCTATAATATATAACAAGATAATAATAAATTTTTATATTTTCTGTGTAAAAACACAGTATTATTTACCACATCCTCCCCCAACTTATTGGCTGTCCCCAGTCAATTCTGATTTTTGACTGTGTTTTGGAGCTAATCTTACAGAAAAAAATGAAAGAAAACCTTGCCCTGCGTGTATTTAATTGGCTTCAGCAGTGTTGAATTGATGTTACAGTGTCCAGAAAAATACAACTTGGCCAGCAGGGAATTCTGACTGTAAAAACTATGTTTTATTTGGGATTTTTATTCTTGGGAGCACTTAAGATTGAAAAGAAATCCTGAATTGTGTAATTGATTTCTTAATTGATAAAAATTTGGGGAACTTTTGATTTTTCAAGAGTTTGTAGTCAAGGCCTGGAATTGAACTCAGGTCCTCAAAATAATTATCTGTAAATATAGTTTTGAAAAGAAAAAAAAACTATATAAATTTTTGATATCTGATTTGTCTTGATTATACCAAAAAAATAGAACTATGCCATGAGAGGGTGTCATGCAGAGTTGGGTGTTGGTGCAGACAGGGAATTGAACCCAGGTTAACAGTTGGTGGTGGCAGGTCCTTCCCAACTTGACTACAGTGAATGTTGAAAGGGTAGCCAAGTCAAAATCCTCATTGCTCGCGCCTTGTCTGAGATGTATCAGTCCTGTCACAGGGGTGACAGGGTCCGATCGGCGATAAGTGTGCCCTCCCGCCGTAGCTCCTTCTTCTCTGTGGGTTTCTCTCTACAATCCTTCCTTCTCGTTCGATTCTCCGCCACCGCATCTGGTCTTCAATTGCGCGACTCGACTGGCCTGTCATTTTGTGGATCCTTTTTCAACAGGTAAGTGTGATCCCGTCTCTCTCTCTCTCTCTTTTAGATGTTCTTCAGTTGACAGTTGCTGATCTTCTACCCAGCGCGCTGTGGAAAGTAAGGCGCGCCCTAGGAGATTTCTTGTACTTCTCCGCTCTGCAACACGTCCTACTCCAATTTGTTGTCCGGGGTAACTTGCTTGATGGTCTTGTAGGTAGGTAAAATAACTCTCTTAATTGATCTTTTGTAGGTAACACTCTAACTCTAGTCTATCTCTAACAATTCTTTAGGCTAATACACAATTCACTCCTAAGTCACTATGTTTTTCTGATATGTTCTGAGTCATAAGTCCCCCCTCTCTCTCCCCTTCTCCCAAGTATCCCACCCTCCAGTTCTTCCCTGCTTCCCACGATGTCATCCGCTGTCACCCCCTCGGACTCCGCATGTCACCCCTCCGACGCCTGTCGGTCCAGGTACTCCTCCGGCCGCTCATAAGCAGGTCTCCCACCGCCACTTCCGCCTCTGGTCCGCTCCGAACCCCGCTTCTGCCCCTCGGTGCTCCCCGCTCTTTGTAGCCCCTCCGCAGTATACGCTGAACCCCCCCGTTCCGCAGCCGGCCGTGAACCCCGGTGTCCGCCGGTGCCCGGATTCCCCTGCAGCAAGCTTTTCAGAACCTTGCACATTCGGTCTACTTTTCCCCGCTTTCCCGCGCCTCGGAAAGCTAGACTTTCCACTAATGCACCGCCGCTTTCCTCAGCCTGTGTGCGTAGCGTCAGCTCTGCGTGCTTTCCGCATCAGCCGCGAGCATTCCGCATGCCCCCCCCCAAACAAACCGGCCAAGGCGCGCTCCCGCCGCCACAGCGCATGTCTCTGGACCTCGATACTGTCACCGTCGCTTTCTCTGCTGGAATTTGACTGACCACCACCAAATATCAAATTCAACCTCGTCACTCGACTGATGGTGTATCCATCTGGACAGGCAAGTACTTTCTGTTTGTCTTTTTATTCTAGTCTTGTTTTGCGCTGACAGCTCCTTTGGTCCAGGCAGAGCTGTGCCCTCCATCCTTGTCACTTCTCCACGTTCAATCTCTCTCTCCATCACGACACAACCTGTTTTCGCCACCTTTGTTGAAACTTAGACCGATTAACAGGGATGAGATGAATTTTTGGACAACAAAAATTGTTTTTTGTTGGAACAGCTCAGAGTGGCGAAAAATGAAGCTGAGAACTGATGGGGTTCATTTCTTGTAACTAGCCATGATTAAATAGACTAGGTACAAGGTGTTCAGAAAGTGGTTGTGGAGAAATGAATAAGTAAACAATAATGAATAAAACAGACTGAGAGGAAATTAGATTCAGTGTTGATGAATCATGAGAGAGACATTATTTATTTATGATATCTCTACTTGATAAACAACAAAGGAAAACAAGAACCACATTTCTGATGAAGATGTTAGTTTCATCAGATCAATCTCAACACCACAACTTTAAGAATAATTAGAAGATAAGCATGGAGAAGAAAGAAATTAACAACTAGGGATTCAGGGTTCTTTGACTACAAGAATTTGATGTTTAACTTCATGACTTGCTACTAGACAGACTATAAAATTATTAGTAGTTTAGGGTTGTAATAAAAGAAAGAGATATAAAAGGATGGAGAAGTGAAGGAGATGAAGAAGGGGAGAATCGAAATTCCAACAACCTTCCCGACTTGATGTTGTACTGTGTATCCATCTCGACAGGCAAGTGAATCTTCTTGTTTCCATCCTTCCTTCTAGTCTATCTTCTGTTTCTGACAGCCCTTGATTCCAACAGAGCTTAGCTTATGTACTCGATGCCGCTTCTCCGTCCTCAGCAAATTTGGGATCTTGTCGCGCTAGGTACGTCCTTCTCATCTCTTCTAATTTTTTTATCCATCTCTTTTCTCCGTACACTTTCACTATCACCTTTGTGGTCTTGACCTAACCTTGTCGCATTAGCTTCATCTAGGATCCTTATCTCTAATTGCGTAGTCGATCCCTCATCACTCGATCCACCGATTTCGCAACCTCCGCACGCTAGCATCTCTGTCCTCATGGCCTCCCTTGCCTGCTGGAAACCGCTGTGGGTACGTATCCCGCCTGAGGAGATCATTGCTCCAGCCGTCCTCTCATCTATAAAAGCCGGCCTCTCTTTGCCGTTTTCCTTTCCTCCTCACCAGCTCACATCCTCAGCTAGCTACTCCCATCTCCTCAACCATTACCACACCAATTGTTCCTCTTTTACTACCCCTTATTCAACCGCTATCGCCAAACCACCTTCCTCCCCTACTACTTCCAAAATGTCCTCAATCTTTGATAACTGCGACACCAACGATTTCTACTGTGAAGGTTGATCTGACCCGTCCATCGAGGTACGTTGTTTCCTCTGCTCATTTCTATCAGCGTCGTTGCTAATGCTTGTTATTCTGTCCTACCTAGATTGGTGTGCGTTATTATCCGGATCGCGACCAATGGAGGCCTGTTTTTAACCCTAACGTCGTGGTAAGTCTATCTTTTCGCTCTCTTCTCATCTTACGTGGCTCTGATACTGAATGTTTCTTGTTACTCCTGCTTATTACCAGCCCAATGACGACACTGTTGGTGACCAGGCCCCGACCAATCCTGTTAGCGACAAGGATCCCGTCGACGTAAAACCCGTAAGCTAGTCTCTGGTCATTGTTCACTTCACTTTCCTCCATTGATCCCATTGTGTGTCTTCTATTTTAGATCGTGGATGCCAAGGAAAAAGAGCCTGCCGAGGCCACTGTTGATCCCGCCTCAATCAATACAATTGTAAGTCAACTTCTGCTCTTCCTTGCTGCCTGTTTTGTCTGTTACTGATTCAGCTTTCTTCTTCTAGCTTCCGTCTGAGCTTGCCTGCTCGGCTTCGTTGGTCTACATCCCGGAGATTGTAGAGACCAGGACCCACTACTTTCCTCTGAAGGATAAGTGGCACGCGATTAATGACCCGTCTCGCCACTACGATTGTGTAAGTCGTTTCTTTTTCATTTCATCCTTCTTTTCTGAGTAGCTAACACCTTCCTCTTTTAGTCTTCCATTCCAGACAAGGTACCAATCCCTCGCTTGTTTCCCAAGCCTCATCCATTCGTCTGTGTCCCGTGGAACGTCCACAACCCCGAGCTTCCTCCTGGACTCCCCGTTCCGTTCCTTCGAACTCTGAACCTTCCTGTACCGGCTCCTACTCCGGCTCCGTCTCAACCGCTGTTGACCTCTAGTTCTGAAACCTCTTCCAACAACTCGGATGCCTCGTCCACCTATCCGCTCATCTCCAATTATATCAACTTGAACCACCAAGGAGTCCAAAAACTCCTCCTCGACGACAAAACTCCACCGACCACCGTCTGTATTTACACCGAGGAAGACGTCATGCGCATTTTTGAGGGTATTGCGCCGGAATATGTGGATATGTGCTCAGAATACCCTCCCTCCTCTTTAGTTGAATCCGACTGCCGGGTGATGTTCTATGAGAACATGCAGTGGTTCTTTAGAAACAAGGGATCCACTTATTTGAGCACCAGAAAGTTCTAAATTATTTGTTTTCCACTTTTCTTTTTCTTCAAAAGGCCCAATAAATCTTTAAAAGGTAACAGTAAAAGAATAAAAAAAGTTAAAGTGGCTGTGAAACCCTTTTGCTGAATGGAGAAGGGGATGGTGGAGTTGCAAGCTCTGCCCTTCTATGCTATCAGAACAACAAGACCACCAAGCTTAGCTTGGCAGTTTATATATTGTGATAGAGGATAGTTCGAGATGAAGCTGTCGAATGATATGTATAACGGCTGAAGGTGTTGATGGTGATTGTTGATGAATTTGTTGATAGAGGTGGTGATGGTAATATTGTTGAGAGTGAGGCTTGAACACGGAACCTCAAGGTTGATGGTATGTAAAGTTAAAAAGAGTAATTGAGAACCAAGGGACAGTCGATTAGAGAACTATGCTTCAACCAGGAATGGAACAGAGGACCAGAACAGGTGGAGATAAGGTGGAGTTAAGGTGGAGTTAAAGTGGAGTTAAAGTGGAGTTAAGGTGGAGTTGAAGTGGAGTTGAAGTGGAGTTAAGGTGGAATTAAGGTGGAGTTAAAGTGGAGTTAAGGTGGATGTCTTGAATGGGAATTGAACCCAGGTCCTTGTGGTTGGGGTGTATGAAGCCAAAAAAGCAGTGGATTTTAGGCAAAGGTGAGATAGCTTAGTGGTTATGAAAAAAGTAATGTTGATATTTCTACACTATAAAGAACTGTTATAATATATATAAGGGGGGTTATAATTGTAAAACCTCAATATTAGGTAGCTAATAATAATGAGGAGTGACCAGTGATGTAGTGTTATGGGGGGGACTGACTACAGAGCATCTGATGAGGAGGGAATACAACTGGCAGGCAGAGGCCTCCTTATATAGACAAAAGTGAGGGAATTTAGCTCCAGGGTACATGCAGGTGAGGGAATTTAGCTGGCCTGAATATCCAATGAGGGAATTTAGCTAGTCTAGTGCATGCAGGTGAGGGAATTTGGCTGGTTAGAGCACAGCCTTGAGGGATTTTGGCTAGCCTACAAGGTCCTGCTACAAAGGAATGCATGTGCACCAACAAAGGAATTCAATATGTAATATGAGCTAGTAAAGGAATTCAATATGAAACAAAGGAATTCAATATACAATATGCATCCAGTATTCAAATTGAGCTATAGTCAGAGTAAAGAATCCAAGAGATATCCGGTGATAGGTTGAAATAGGTGTAACTTCTGAACTAATAGAGATAAGGGGGTAGTTGTAGTGGGTGACTAGGGTTTATTTTACCTCAGGAATCCATTTTTGATGTTTCTTTTACCTTATATATGATGTAGAAAAAGATGAGAATAAATTTTTATATTTTTGGCGTAGAAACACAGGAATAACTACCACATCCTCCCCCAACTTATTGGCTGTCCCCAGTCAATTCTGACTTTGACTGTGTTTTGAAGCTATTTTCTGAAGAAATTTTGAGGTTGTGACAGGGATTTAATTGGTGTTTCTTCCAGTATTCTCTTGTGGCTAGATCCTGGCTTCTGGTTGTTTGCTATATTGGTGATGAGTTGAGTTTGGTGTTTGAGAATGGTGATGGTTTTGATTCAGGTGATGGATTTGAGTCCCATGTTTGAGATTGGTGATGAGTTGATCTGATGGTTGAGAATGGTGATGATTTTGAGTCCCATGTTTGAGATTGATGATGATTTTGAGTCAGGTGATTGAGATTGGTGATGAGTTGATCTGATGGTTGAGAATGGTGATGAGTTTGAGTCAGGTGATTGAGATTTGAGATGAGTTGATGACAGGAATGTTGGTTAAGGTTGAGTTGTTTTTGTGGAAGAGCAGGCCAATGAGAAGAGGCTGAAAATTTGGTATGTTGCCGAGTCCTGATTTGATGGAGGAAAAAGTCGTTGATCCGATCCAAAAGAGTTATATCCAATTTTGTGAGGGTTTAATGCATTTGACTGATTGGTTGTGTCCGTTACCGTCCTAAAGCTAAAATTGGTCCAAGAATCTAGAAGAAGAATCAAATCCAAATAAGAGTTTGAGCTGATGAAAGAACTGTAAGATAAATTCAATCCAGAAGTTTGAGATACTAAAAGTAAACCAAAATAGAAATCCAATCCAGATAAGAGTTTGAGATAATAGAGAAACTAAAAGAGAAATCCAATCCAGATAAGAGTTTGAGATAATAGAGAAACTAAAAGAGAAATCCAATCCAGATAAGAGTTTGAGATAATAGAGAAACTAAAAGAGAAATCCAATCCAGATAAGAGTTTTATACAATAAATTAAGAGACTGAAATAGGAATTCAAGAGGAAAAAATTTAATCCAGAGAGTAAGAGTTAGAGTGAATAAATGAATTTTAACAGCAACCCCAAGGATATAAGCTAAAAAAATATGTCAATTAAGGATAATTCAATGATTTAGTGTGAATGTGAGTAGAATATAATTTTTTTCCCCCAACCTCAAAACATTTTATCTACTGGAAGTGTTTTATTCTGTTATCTTCTGTAAGTTGATGATTTAGCTAACTGATATATGTTCTTTATGAATTTTTAGACTTCAAGCAAGCATTCTACTGATTAATCAAGGGGATATCAGAACTAGGGGAGTGAGGAAGGGTTTAAATGAGTGAATTTCAAAGGAATGTGAGCTCCTCCCCCAACTTTTCAAAATAATTAAGAGACATTTTAAGAATTATTTGATACTCCTTCAATATATTTTTCCCTGAGGTTGATTATTGCTTTCAAGGTCCAATTTCTTGAGGGTTCTCTGTTTAGTCCAGATTGTGAGTTGTCCAAATCCAAGGTTCTTCAGACTTCTTCTTCCAATTGGAGTGTCTTCTTGTTTGTTTATATGTACAACTAATTAAACAGGTTTTGATCTTCATCCGCCAGATTTAATCACATTTGCATTCCTTGCATACATCTACTGTTCTGGGTGCGTTCTTCATTTCCATTGTCGAGTCACACCAATTGTTAAATTGCTCACATTGTCATTCGTTCCATTGTTCATTCTTCCACATCAATCGATCCAGCTGTTTGGCACGTCATCGTTGATTCTTTAATCCGCAAAAATTGTCCAAGAGATCGCTTTTGAAACGTCATAAAATGATTTACATCATAAAAGAGGCTAGGTTCCACAAGGATTTGAGCTGGTCATTGGCCTTTGGTCTTCAAGTTGCATTGTAGTTCCGGATTCCAATTGAACGCTGAAGATGATCCAATAGGTTCCTAAAAGGGGTTGATGGTACAAATCCATCTTCCAAATCTGGTGTACTGAACGGTAGACTCATGTTGATTTTGATTGATTTTCCTAGTTTTCCTTACTTGACGCTCCTTTGATACCTAAACAAACGGTTGCTCTGAAAAAGAAACAAATAATACTTTGGTCGCTGGTCTCTTTGCCAGGGCAAGCTTATGGTTTTCTTAAAATAAATAATCAGTTAAACACTGGGAATTTCTTCTTTCACAGAATCTACTTATCCAAATCCTTCGGTGGTCTTCCTTCTTTTGGTCAATAAGCAGCTGCTTTCTTTGAATAGTTCCAGATTTCTCTTCAAACAACGATGGGTCGGTACGTTACTCTACGATAACCGACCCTATTTAGTATTGTAAAGGTCTTAAGACACTTACCGTTACGATACCGGTACTAGTAATGTCCCCATTGCCCAGGACCTTGTATAGTTTTTTTTTTTTTTTTCTTGCGCCATAAATACAGATATCGTACAATTTTTTACTCCTGGATAACGCAATACTGCAGATAACTAGGGGTAAAAAAATTGCACCAACCACAAAACCAGGGGTCAAAAAAGCCCTCAAGTGATGAGACAACACACAGGGCCTACGGTCTGCTGTACTGTGAGCTCCCCTAAGTTTAATCCACCTACTATCCCGATTCTCTAGTGAATTTTCTTCAACATATCCAAAACAGCGACAATCCCAAAACACCAACAATATGACCGCAGCCCAAAAATCTATCCAAGACCCCACCGTGACCAATGGGACCGAGAATTCTGGCTATGCTACGGATCAGTCGCAGACCCGGTGCCGCCGCTCTTCAAGAGCATCATCTGTTGTTGTTGCACCAAATATGGTTGCTCCCTCTCCAGACTCCCGGATCAAATTAACCCGACCAGCTAGTACTACTCAGAAGCGACCAGCAGTGGCAGAGCCCGAGTCCTCATCGGAATCGGAGTCAGAGGCCGACACCCAGAGGGAATCTGGTTCAGAGGACGAGCCTGGCGAGACCGAAACAGCTGCACCTCCAAGGAAATCTAAGCCGCAAAAAAAGAAGCCACGCCGGAAGACAACTTCGAGTGCAGCCAAGAAAAATAAGCCTGCTCAAGCCTCTTCCAAAAAAAAAAAAAAGTCTCAAAAGGAGACCGCGGTGAGTAACTGCGTTTCAGACTTTTGATAAGTTTTTATTTGCTTACATGTATATAAATTGAAGGCAAACAAACCAGTACCACTACCTGCGTATGATTACGATCAGGAAAGCAATGATGAATCGATTGAAATTCGACCCCGCGCGGCGGCAGCAAAGGCCAAGAAGGATGAGGGGTTTGCCAAAATAGAAGAGTTCTTCTATCCCCCAACATGGAAGGAAGGCGACCCAAAGGACGTCTACCTCAATTTCAAATGCAGATGGTGTAAAGTTGTCTACCGAGGCAATCAGAACACAAACGGCAATTTGGTTTGTCATCGTGATGGTTTTACGCAGGCCGGTAAAAACGATCGTGGATGTGTCAACCGCGAAAAGGCAAAACAGGCTGGGATGAAGCTCCCCCTTTCTGTTGCTGAACGAAGACGACTCGAAAATCTCAGCGGTAACGGTCAGCAGAGCGGAATCTCTCAATTCCTCCAAGTACAGCCCTTGTTTGCCAACCGTGTGTTGAATCAGCTTGTCATGATCTGGCAAATCCGACAAGCTTTGCCTTGGTCACGCATTGAGGATCCATACCTTCGGGCCGCCTTTCAGTACACAAACCAAAAAGCGGTGCTATACGGCCAAAGATGGTCAGCCGATGAATCAAAAAGGCTGTACTCGATGCTCAAGCCACAAGTTTTTTCGGAGTTGAATGTGAGCTTTATTCCTGAAAGTTATTCAGAATCCAAGCTGAAGTTTGAATTGAACTACCCCCCAGAATCTTGATACAAAGTTTACTCTTGTCCATGATGTCTGGACAACCAAAGGCAACCGGTTTGCATTCATCGGTGCCGCGGTTGCGTACATTGATCCCAATTGGAAGTATGTAGTCCGACACTTGACTTTGAAGATGATTCCCTGGAGGCATGCTGGTTACCTGTTAGCACGGCCAATAGCGGCAATACTCCGGAAAAACAAGCTCTTTGAAAAGATTAGTAGCTTTGAATTTTCATTTTCTTGTTCTTGTGCTAACCCCTTTACCTTTGTTTTACATGCTTGCTCAGACGACAGACTCCGGTTCTAACAACAACACAATGGCTGTTGAGATGTATAATCTACTACAACATCAACATAAAACAGGTTCAAAACAGGGCGGAGATCAGTCGACTGTGTCCGGGTGGGACCCAAAAACTATGCACGCTCGATGTTTTTGCCACAAACTGGCTCTTATTGTGAATGCTGGCCTCGCAGCACTGTCGTTGAAAACTCTGCCTCCAGGCAAATCCAAGCAATCAGTCTTAGGTTATTTCCCAGTTCTCGGTAAAGTCGCAGAAGAAGATGAAGCAAATGAGGACCAAGCAGTTGTTGTCACAAAAACATCCCTTCCAGTCAACGTTCAAAACGATCCGGCCTCAGTAAGCGACAGCGGTACCGATAGCGACTATGGTAATGCAGACGAAAGTCTTTCAGAATACGAAGGCAGTGTTGATAGCGATGATGAGACTGAACCAACCAAGACCAAATCAACATTGAAGACCTCAGCTTCAACCAAGTACAAGAACTCGACTAAATTACTTGAGCTTACACAGAAGGTAAGTTTCTTTCTTGTCTTCCCTGGGCAGCTTATTTACTTATTAATCGTATGATAATTGAAACAGCTTGATGTAGTTATCAAAACAATCACTCGCTCGGCCGCTCAACGGTCCAATTTTGACAGAACGGCCGAAAAACTTAAGCTGAAAGTCGCACCATTGATTGCTGGTTACGGTATCCGATGGAACATCCGATATCAAAGCTACCAGAAAGCCATCGATGCACGCGAGGTAATCGACCATATACTTAAAGAGGATCAAGAACAGAATCAAGCTGGACTCTTTGCAGATGTTCTCTTCTCTCCGCGTGACTGGGAAGGAAATTGATAATCTGAATGCACAGCTTGAGGTAAGTCACTCTCACAGAGTCTCACTTCCCATCAGGCGGGGACAGTGTTAACGTGCTGCATTTCCTTAACAGGTGTTTGTCAAGTTGACCGCCGAGATGGAAGGCGACTCGGCTACAGGTTGCCATGTATTACCCAAGTACCTGGAGCTGAGGGAGAGTCTCAAAGAAAAGCTTGAACTATCATCGGACACTGACTCGCTCTACCCGATGCTCCACACAATGCTACAACGTGTGGATAAGTATCTCAAAGAAGCTATGCAGTGTCATACGCTGGTGCTTGCAACACTGATGCATCTGTTTGAGCTTGTCTTTGGGGCCAACAGCCCTGAGGTGACTACCATTCTTGAACTACTCAAAGATGAGTTTCAGAGGACCAAAGCTAAGCAGCAAGAGCTAGCAAAAAATAAGAATCCCATCGATCCAGATGTTTTTATTGTCGATAAACCATTGGATCCTCCACCCACTGGAAGTTCCCTCATGAACCGCCTGGCATCTCGTATGGCGGTACAACCAACGGCAGAGGCGAACGAGGTCAAATCATACTTGCAAGCTGACCTGTCATTCAACGAAGGCGATATTGAGAGGAAAACCACTCCTCTGAAGTGGTGGCAGGTATGTTAGATATTTCACTTCTGTCTTTTGATCTCATGCTCAGGCTGATGCAGTTTACCTAACAAACAGGCAAATCATGCAACATATCCAACCCTTGCGATCATGGCACGGGCTTATCTTGGTATTCCAGGTAGCTCATGTTCAGTTGAAAGACTGTTCTCTGCAGCTGCAGATGTGTGTAGCACCAGCCGTGGCCGATTGCTACCATCAACAATGTCACGCTCAGTCAGCAGCCTTATGTGGCTCCGCGAGGATGTTCCTCTGACTGGGGACTTTTCCGAGGCCGGAAAGGCTTTGGATACCTTGATCCCAAAGCCAAAGGGAAAAAAATGAATTTCTCTTCATCTATGCCTCATGGAATCTTTACTAGTATTGGTAACAGCTACACCTGGCCAGTATAGTAACTACTTTCTTTGAAAATTTACATTGTTCAAGATATAGTATTGATTCAAAAAACAAAACAAAAAAAATTATGGATATTGTAATACAAAATTTATTACAAATCCCAATAAAATTAGTACAGTTATTGCCCAAAAAAAAATACTATAACTTTACTTTACCAATATCCGTAAAGTAAAGACCCATTGTTGCTTCAAACAGTATCCTATTATCCAGATCCTTCGGTGGTCTTCCTTCTGCTGGTCAATAACTGGCTGCCTTCTTCAAGATACTCGTTTCAGTCGATGGGTTCACTTTCTTTTCAGAGGTTCGTTGTTTGTGTCGTTGAATTGTTTATTGAAGTTTGACTAGTTGATCAACAGAATAACTGAATATGCCGCGGAGTAGTCGCAAATTTGTTTGATGAATTTGTTCCGTTTACCGCTAAAGTAACGATCCTCTGTCAATGTCTTCTTGATTATCTTCTTGTTTTCAATTAAAATTGGTTATACAATGCCACTCAAAAGTTTATCCTATCACATTGGGGACTCCGTTGTAAGACACAAAAGTGGTTGTGAAAACCCTTTTGCTGAATGGAGAAGGGGATGATGGAGTTGCAAGCTCTGCCCTTCTATGCTATCAGAACAACAAGACCACCAAGCTCAGCTTGGCAGTTTATATATCGTGATAGAGGATAGTTCGAGATGAAGCTGTCGAATGATTTGTATAACGGTTAAAGGTGTTGATGGTGATTGTTGATGATGATGTTGTTGTTGATGAAGTTGTTGATAGACGTGTCAATTATTGTTGTTGAGGTTGAGGCTTGAACACAGGTCCTTGAGGTTGAGGGTATATAAAGTTAAAAAAGAGGTGATTTGGAACCAAGGCGCTGGGCGCTGGGAGCACTATGCTTCAACCAGGAATGGAACAGGGGAC